GATGTTTGTACATTGAAATGATTGCCTACAAACTGACATTTTTAGAAACAGATTGTCAGCTGTGGGTGATGTTGCAGTGATGTGTTGTTAAATTGCTAATTTGTGTTGCTCTTGCAGTTTGTACATCTCCATTTAACTTTAATTATATAATTAGTTAATCATACACTAAATGTGACTAAAAGAATCCAACTGTTGACTTCCATACTTTCCTTTGGACAAGTGACTAAAAGTTCCTAAGTGGCATTCCCTACCCATCCAGCCTACCACCCACAAGAATGCCTAAAATGTGGACATACTGGAGGAAAGTAAGTCAGACTGAAGCAGAAAATAGGTTGTACTGGCACTGGAACGTTAAAGCATCCTGCCTGGGCCAGTAGTCAACTGCTCCCAGAAGCCAGTGTGCCTGTCCAACCCAGACAGTGGGGCTAAACTTTTCTTCCCCCCTGGGACCATCAGTTTTATCCAACACAGGGTAAAGGGGTGTTAGAACACTGGGCAACCTTCCCTCATTTTATGTCTATCCCAGAACCCCTCTCTGAGGTATTCAGATGCACACAAAGGCTAAGCACACACATAACTTCTCACTGTTTCTAATAAACAAAAGGCATCTTTAGGTTGTAGGAGCACTGGTATTTGGGGAAGGTGAGCCCCTACATGGTATGTGGGTCACACAGAACTTCGTGGCCCTGCTAGGATGGCACACAGCAACACTGCCTTTTCTTTTCTTCAACTGTTAGCCTTCAGTGAATTCACCCTGGTGGTGGCACTGGGCATTTGCTTTGTGACAGGCTTCCAGGCCACCCAGCTCACTAGGCCATGTGGCTCACAATGAGATTAAATGAGAATCTGCTCTGTTTCCCCACTTGCATTTGATTTATTCTTGGGATCTTCTTTCACAGTCCTGAAAATACCCACAGTTCAGTTTCTGGAAATGCCTTAGTGCTCGAAACAGGGCCCTTACTCATTGAACTGCTTGACAAAATTCAAATTCTGTGGGCGAACCCCAGCTTCCCTTGCCACCTCCAAAGGCAAGCACTTCCCACCTCCTAAGTCCAATGCCCCACCAGGTCTTGCCACTGGAATCTGGCCTGTCCTGTGGGGCTTCATCACTGTCTCAGAACAGCACTTGCCTCGTCCCACCTAAGTTCCTATTTGTCTACTCCATATACACTCCACAGTGCAGAAGAGAATGATAGCTAAGACTTAGGGGGATAGTCGGGTGCTAAGCCATATTAGCAGCCTTTGAAGCACTGAATACACTAGAGATATGATCATCCTCACGTGGCTCACCAGCACAGTGAAGCACGGGAGCAAAAGGGAACTACAGTGCTCACCACCCTTGACAGTATAAGAAAATGATCAGGATTTCTTGGGAATCCTGGGGAAGTTCCTGTTGATCAATGAGAATACTGTCCTGAGACATCAGACTGGAAACAAAAGTAGTTTGCTAGGAAATGTTGAGCAAACAGCTCTCTAATGCTATTTAGTGAGGTAAATTCTCTGACCACAACCAATTTCAAGTCACCAAGTGATATCACTGAATGCCTGGTTGAGATAAGAGGCACATAATTAGCTCTCCCGAGTTAGAACTAGCCAGCTCCCGCACACCAACTTTGCTGTTTCCCTTCCCGGGATACTACAAGATGGATGAAATTAATAAAACAAAACATTTACCCCGCACATAGTTATGGAGAAATGCTCCCACAACGCTCTGTGCACATGCATGGCCTATGGTGTCTTGTCTCCCTTGAACACCACTTTCTTGAAGGTTTTCTAATGCTCTTCAGGGACTCCCACAAGTTTTGTAAAAAAGTTGTCTTTTCTCCTCTTTAGGCTTAGAGTATTTGGAGCTTAGAAGCCTTGTCTTACAAAAACCACTTTCGCCCCACCTCTGTTCTCCATTATACTCCCTGCCTCATCATGTACAGTAAGTACTCAAAAAGGTCTTGTACTTAACCATTGGCACATAACCGATAAGAGGAAATTCTAAAAGTTTTACAAACAAGAACCCTCTGCCACTCCCATGCTCAAGATGTAAATGTGACAAGGGGTGTTGATCAAAAATATTTTCACTGCCGCCTCCCAGGACAGTGAAAGCAGGGTTCTCGCACCAGTGCCTCCTGTCACTCCCACCAGTTCAACCAGATGCAGAATCAGAGAGAGCAGGACATCCGAAAAAAGACTGACCATTCCCAAAACAATGCCAACGACCAGTTGTTGGCTATCAACAACTCCAACGTAACAAAACAAGAGAAAAGCCTGGGTTTCTTGGTGTGTGTGTGTGTGTGTGTGTGTGTAAGACTCAGAATCACAGAGCCATAGCTTTGCCTGATTCCTGATGAGGGAATGCCAGTAGAGTCAATGTCAGGAATTCCATCTCAGTTAAACCAGCCCCAGACCCTGTTGTCATAATTTTGGGGCCACTCAAGGTTTCTCTAAGGAGGTCAGCCAGAGAATGTTTCTCCTTCTGTAGCCAGGTTGCAAGTTTCAAGTCCTACCCATACCCTAAAAATGGGCTTCCACTATCTCAATTGACAGCCCTCATTTGAAAGACTTTTATGAAGCCTGAATAAGGAGGTTTCAAGATTCCACAAGATTCCACAAGAAAAAGCCAGAGAGTGTGTTGTCTTCTCCAAACAGTCCCAGAACCTTTTGCAGGCTTCCACCAGCCAGCAGGGTGTCAAGCTCTAGATTCAGGCTGCTGGTCCAAGGGTACAAGCTTCAGCCTAAAATCTCACAGACCACACAGGGGATGTGGTCATTGTCTTTCTTCTATATTACTGACAATTCATTTGACAAGTGCCTTTCTATTTTACTAAATAGTTTCACATCTGTTTTCACAGTTGTTCAGTTTGGGGTAGTTTTCATCTTTATCTTTCCAGCTATCTAATGTGGAGGCCACAGAAGTGAGTGATTAATAACAGGACTTTATATGAAGACTGCCTGGCAGTGAATCTTAGCTCTGCTTCTTGCTTTCTCTGTTGCCCTCAAGCAACTTGCTTAAAGACTGTGTTTTGTTTCTTCATCTGTAAGATGGGATTGATAATGACCCCTACCACAAAGTGTCATTATAGGGACATGATGAGTTCTTATTTATAAAATATTTAACTGCCTGGCACTATTATAATGATTTCTGTGTCAATGTTTTGACAATTGGCCTGGGTAGATCCACCCTCACAAGCAACAATTATCACCAGGACGTTCCAAAAAGCCTTCTCATAGCGCTAGGCCCATTTTACCTCCAAAATTTTTTTGGGAACCTTTGCTCTCCTTTCTGTCCTGCCGCTATACCCCCAGTTTAGGAACGGGTCACTGCAAACCACTTGCTGTTTGCGGTGCTGGTCTTTCCTGGCATACTTTTCTGAAACCCTCTTGACTCTGGCTATCTCCTTCTCTATCACCCTTTATGCTTAGACTACAAAGTCCTTAAAAGCAGAAACTGCCATCCCCTCAGAATCTTCAGCATGATGGATGAGAGCACTCAACAAATATCTGTTGACTTAATGGATGTTTGCTGTGCCCCCAGGAGTGTGTAGCGGTTTACAGGGGGCTTTTCATTCAATCCCACCCCTAATTCTGTGTAATCATAAGTACAGTTACTGCCTCCATTTTACAAATGAGAAAACTAAGACCTAGAAATATTAAATAACTTGCCCTCCAAATGTAGATATTTGCATCCATGTGGATATTTTATTTATTTATGTGAAAATGTACAGCTCATAATATGTAGGAACAGAAGATGCCAGGAAGCCACACTTGATATCACCTGATAGGTAAAGTTTTGATATTCAATTTGCCTAATAAAGGAGATGTTGCTTTATTTGAACATAACTTGTTCTTAAATCACAGTAGTTTTTCTTTGGACAAATTTGCATATTTTATGAAGGGAAAATGCACATAATGTGTTTCTTGCAGCCATCAATTGATCAGTGAGTGGAGGTTATATTTTAATCCGTCATCTGCATAGGCTTTGGTTCCTATTTTACCCATACATTATCATTTCCGAAAGTCTTTCATGGTCAACTAAGCTTGCGGAAGTTTATATAGATCATTGACATCAGGTGATTCTATGGCATTTGGAGAAGAATGATCTACAGTTTCGTGGTAGTAGTAGTAGTAGTAGTAGTGGTGGTGACAGTGGCAGCTACCATTTATTAAACACCTACTATGTACCAACATCCATGCTACTACAGTACCTGTACAGTGCCTACAGTATAACTGTGTTACTTGCACTTTCCACCAGAACCCTGTGAAATCCCTAGTGTTGCTTATTTTACAGATGGGGAAATTGTGACTCAGAGAGTTTAACTTACTGACTTGGGGTCACTCAGCTATTGAATAGTGGAACCTGGACTGAAATCCAAATTTGTGTGAATCTAAATTTTGGGCTTTTATCCCAAAAGAGACTTTGAAGATTGTCCAAGTTACTTAACCCTCTCTGAGCTTCAGTTTCCTCATCTGTAAATTTGAGGGAAGTAGCACAGCCTGTAGGATTGCTATGAAGGTTAGAAATAGAACATGCCCAGGGCTGAGGGGCACGCAGGGAGCATTTAAACCATGGTGGCGATAATTTTTCATGTTTGGGACATTAAGTGGGCAGAGGAAGCTCTGAGATCCCTTTAAAGGCACTGGGGAGCTGGAGAGAGGGAGCTCCAGCTTGGCAGTCTTAAGAGCTGGCCCTCTCCCCTCCAGAATACAGTGACCCAATGAAACTCGGAGCTACAGGCGAGGGGGCAGGGGCCTGAATTTGGCTCCAGCAACCTCTGCAGGGAGTCAGGAGCGAGGCGGGGAGCTGGGAGGGGCGTAGAAATCGCGGTCGCCAGAGGACTGCAGGTGTCAGGCAGAGTTGGGTTAGGTGGGCGCCCAGAGCCGGGCGGAGGGAGGGGAGGGGGTTGGGACGGGCCAGCTAGCTAGCGGGGAGAAAGGGAGGCGGGGCACCGAGCCTGAGAGGCTGTCCTTAGACAGCTCTTCTCATGCCGGGCAGTTTGCTGCATCTGGGGGAGCTCACTGGAGAATCTCCAACAGCGGAGCGGGCCTTCAACTACCGTAAGTACCTGCAAATGAGCGCATAGTCCAGTGGCCGAAGATTAATTACTGGCCACCAGATCCTAAACAAAACCCCGGAATAGTCTCCTCGCTGTTATTAATTGCCTTAAATCAACTGCTCTCCATCTGTCCCCCAACCCTCATCCTTCCCTTTCCTGCTGTTCCTCCCCGGTTCCCAGCCTTGCCTGGCTGAGAATCTCTGGGTTCTGTAGATGTTTTCGCTCCTCCTCGTTCTTACCTCCGAACCCTCAGCGGAGCTTGTACCCGGCACCCCGCTGAGCACAACCCCTTTCATTCCTGGATCCCTCAAAGCAATGCTGGGAGCGAGCCATTAGACGTTTCTGTATGACACCCCAAAAGCACTGCGGCGCTGCCTAAGGGTGGGGAAAGTGCTTGAGGTGGAGTAAAAGGGGAGGGTAAGAAGACCAGACCGTGGAAGTTGGGGGGGAGGGGGGGTGAAAGGCCAAAATGGGCGTGGCTAATTAACCTGTAGCCTGTGGCTTTTTCCCAGGTTCCTGGACACCAGATTCCTGCTTTCCGATGTATATAAATTTATAGATCTCTCAGTGATTGGGGAAGGGTCGCTTATGCTGAGAAGCCCAGCTTTCATGGTGCCACTCAAGTCCCCAGGAGCCAAAGACCCTGATCTAGGGGTCCATATAGCAAGACTAGAATTTCAGATGGTGTTTCCTGGCAGAATCCCCAGGTGGAATCCTTTCCGTGGCAGTAGGGCAAGATTTTCCCAATAATCCTCGCCCACAGCCTCAGGGGAAGAAAGCAACAGGGTGGTGCCTGAGGCTGAGGCTGGGCCTGGGTCTGGCATGGAGAAGAGTGGGGCAAGGGCTGTAGAGCTGAGATGGAAAGAGCACCCTTAGGGTCCTACACCAGGCTCATGCCTGCTTTGGAAAGAAGAAAAACAGCCACCTTTCATGGAAATACTCAGTATTTGCCATCATCCCTAAGCCAGTGCAATGATGCTAGGAAGAGATTATTCTCCAACTTTGCAGATAAGAAAAGTTCAGGGAAGATAATGTGAACACCCTTCAGTGAGAGTGAGACATGCAGAAGGAAACTGCATCCTTGGCTCTCTGACTGACCATTTGCTTCCTACCCCTAGGAATTTGAATCCTCACTTTCCCCTGCTTCTCCACCCTAAGCAGTATTAACCCTGGTGCAAGTTAGAGGCTGTCATCTTAAGATCAGTTTGGGAAGCAAAATTCCTGGACTCCTCTCAGCTATGTAAGGGTTCCTCTTTGGGAATCAAAATCATTGCCTAGGGGTGGGGGTCTCTGTGTTGTAGGAGCCCCCTCTATCCCACTCTATGGAGACAGGTTTGAATAGCTGGAATCAATCAGAAACTCAGAGTTGGTGGATAAGAGTTTGAACGAATTTGTGTGGTAGACATATATCTTCCCTTGGCACAAAGCTGCCCTGGGTGTTGGGAAGGGGGCAAGAGAGGAAAAAAAGCAGAAAGGGTCTAACTAGGTACTTGCAGGGCCTGCAGTCAATAATGATTGGGGGGCGGGGGGGAATAGAAAATCCCACATGAACTCAAATTTCTTTTGTCATATGTCCCTGAGTTCAAACAATTCTTTTTTTTCCTTAGGAGCAGCAAGCAAAAATACTTACCAATCATGGGTAACCAATAAGTAATTTACACCTTGTATCAATTAACTCAAGTAACTTGGTTTTTCCAACACCTTTTTGAGATGGGGCTTTTGAGCTTTGGGGTGGGGGGTAAAGGGATAATCATGAGAGTAATATTGGATCTGAAACACTTCACAGAAGAGGAGGCCTGGGTGGGACAAGTGGGAAGAGTGAGGGATGGTGAGAAAGGGACAAAGGCTACTTCTAGATGTTCCCATATTGGTTTTAAAGCATAAGCCTTGGAATTAAATATGGCTTTGAACTTTAGCTGAGATTTAATATTATTTGACTTTGGGCAAGTCATACGCCCTCTCTAAACCTCAGTTTCTTAATCAGCAAAATGGGCATGATTAGGAACACCTCCTTTGTGAGGTTGTAGAAGGACTCAGAAGTGTAAAATCTGAGTAAAGAATCTGATCATCTCAGCTCTCTGTGAGCCCCATCTTCCTCAAGCCATGGGCTTCCTGCTGGCCTGGATTAGGTCAACCTCTACATCCCTTAGGTGCCAGGGACAAACACACGTGTGACAAATGTGACATCTTAGATCCCAGCAAAGTTCTTGGGTGGTGAAAGTGGGGTGTGAGGGAAGGGGAGAAGGTAAGGAAGTAGAGGGTGACCTTGCAATACCCTGCACACCTGTGAACATAGAATTCTCAAGTGCAGTTTAATCATCTAAACTAATCTTTAAGGAGAAAACAGGCCCCTAAGTGAAAACACTTCTACTTTTAGATCTTACCACCTGCTGAGGGACAAAACCCTCCAAGACTCAAGCGCACGGTGGACACCGGAGGCCCCATGGCCCTGGACAAGCCAGGGGAGGGAGCTACCATGCTACGCTCATTCGCCCTCTTGCTTTTTTGCATTGGTGAGTTCAAGTGATCTGTGGGAGACAAATGACCCTGTCATAAGCACCCTATGAGTGGGTCCCTGGGGAGGGGAGAGTTCTGAGACTTGAGGGTGGGTGGAGGCAACGAGGAGGTCTTCCTCACTGTGATCTCTCTTTGCAGAGCTGAGTCTGGGGGAGACATCAGTAGGTAAGTGAATCCTACCTCCTCAGGTATCTTTCTTTCTAACAGCAGAGACTTGGCATCACAAAGATCTTTCCCTGGGATCAGAACCCCTCACTTCATGATGGGATTTCCCACAGAATAGTAAAAAGTTTTATGTCGGATGAAAAGGAAACCATATTTTCACATTATACCCCAAAGCACGGGGATGACATTCGCAAGTATCCTGGGGTTCCCCCACTCCCCCCCGCACACACACACACACACACACACACACAAACACACACACTCAGAATGTCCTGTCCCAAAGGAAGACAAAAGGATGAATCTGGTTGAATTTGAAGGGAGAAGAGTGGGGCACAAGATGGGAAGGGTGGGGGGTGGACAGCTCACATCTCTGTGATTTCGGGCACCCACAGGGATGCAGTCTCAACCGGAGCTGTGGATAGAGAGCAACTACCCCCAGGCCCCATGGCAGAACATCACACTTTGGTGCAAAAGTCCCTCTGGGCTGTCAAGCAAGTTCCTGTTGCTGAAGGATAAGACACAGATGACCTGGATTCGCCCTTCCTACAAGACCTTCCAAGTTTCATTCCCGATAGGTGCCCTGACTAAGTCCAATGCTGGTCTCTACAGATGCCGCTACTGGAAGGAGACAGGCTGGTCAGAGGCCAGTAAAGTTCTAGAGTTGGAGGCACCAGGTAAGAAGACAGAGGTAGATATTCAAGACTAAGCTTTAGCTTCTCAAATTAAAACTTGCCTTGCCTTCCAAGAGCAGGGTTTGCTTAATTAATCCATTTGTTTACCCCAAATGCATGCATGAATACATAGGAGCACCCACTGTTAGCAAATAAGAGGTTTCTATGAGCAATGCCCAGTGAGGACACAGGCTCTAGAAAAGTGCAAGGGGGCAATCTGTCCACACAGGGGCTCTCACCCCGGAGATGGGATGTGAAAGGTGGCAAATAAGGCTGATGCGGCTCCCCACTGCTGCTTCCCAAACAACATTATCCTTGCTGTACCTGAATCCCATTCATTATCTCCTTCCAGGCCAGCTGCCCAAGCCCATCTTCTGGATCCAGGCTGAGAGCTCCCCTCTTCCTGGGTGTAATGTTAATATTCTCTGCCATGGTTGGCTGCAGGATTTGGTATTCATGCTGTTCAAAGAGGGATATGCAGAGCCCGTGGATTACCAAGTGCCAACGGGGACAGTGGCCATATTCTCCATTGCCAACATGACACCTGAGAGTGAGGGAGTTTACATGTGCCGCACTCATATCCAGAGGCTCCCCACTCTGTGGTCAGAGCCTAGCAACCCCCTGAAGCTGATTGTGGCGGGTGGGTGTGGCTACGGCTGCTGGGGCCTGATGATCATTGTCCCGGGGATCATGGTAGGGTAAGCCAGGGTTTCTGCCTTTCCTTGCCCCAGCCATTTCCTAAGCCCTGCATGACCCATGAGTTCACATCATTTGACATTTTCCTGAGATGCAAATTAGCATCTCAAAGCTAGAGGCAGAAGTGTGGGAGCCAATCACGCAGTGAGTGAGCCCTGCCCAATGCCCAGCAGCTCAGCTCATCCCTTCTGTTGTTCTTTACTTGTTGAATATCATGCATGCTTTCATGTCACTCAGCCTATATTTATTGAGCACCTCATATGTGCCAGGCACTGCCACTGCTCTTAACACTGGTTTTTAAATTTTTTAATGCATTTTGTTCTTTTGGTGATTATTTTTTTAAGTGTGGAAAATAGTATAAATTGCCACTGGTGGTGATAGGAAAATGACAAAATGAGAGTTCACATTTTACAATTGTCTTTCTATATTACTTTAGTCTTGTATCTATAGAGTCAGTAAGGCAACACCGAGCTTTAGACACATCAGAAGGCGCTCTAAAATGCCCATGTGCCAGACACACACTCCTGCCCCAGCTGCCTCACCCCATGGCCTGGATGCTTCTAGACAAAATTGGCAACATATGCTTTAGTTCCTCCATCGAGCTAAACAGGCCTGGGGAAGCTGTGGTGCTACTATATACCTTGGTCTTAGAAGCAGTGATCCTGGTTTCTACTTCCCACTCTGACATGGCCTTCCTGTGTGATCTTGAGCAAGTCATTTCACCTCCCTGTGCTTTCAGTTGCCCCAATCTAAGACGGGATAACTCTATCCAACCTACTGTATGATGCCTCTCTGTGCCTCAGTTTTCTGATTTGCAAAATTGATACAATAATAATGCCTACCTCACAGGGTTGTTGTGAGGATTTGCTAAAATATATGTACAGTGCCTGGCATATACGTCCTCAATAAATGGTAGATATTAATTTTATTAGTATAGCTTTTTATTGAGAATCAAAGGACAAAGGACTGTCTGTTTGAACTGTGTGTATGGATGTTTGTTGTACGAATGTCCTTCTAGCATACACACACACAAACACACTTACATAGTTGTCTATTCATTGGTGTGCACCTGGACCATGAACTTTTGACCAAGAGGGACCATGCCTTTACTTGCATATCTCCATCTCTAAATGAATTCCCAGACATCCTAAATGCTCAGGGAGCATAAGGTGTAGCCAGTACTTCCCATAATGAATAGTTAGGTCTGTCTTGGTTTGAGGTAGATAGAAAAGAGTGATATGGGAGGGAGGTTTGCCCTTTACTCTGTGGTACAGTCTACTTGGGGGAATAGCACACAGAAATGAGTGTGTTACCCCATGGTCAGAGATTTCCCTGCGGTGCAGGCTTACTCACCAAGTCTTTCTTGTTGACTTTTCCCAATATATTGGTGGAAGTAAGTTCTCGTGTAGGCTCGTGTGTTCAGAAGCCCTCTGTAATACTCCAGAAATACAATATTTGATTCCATACAAAGATGGAATCAAAGTCATTTTAAGAAGTTCTGTTGCTTGGATGGTTGGAAGAACTATATTTGGCATTTTAGGAATTACAGATATAGCTATTCCACTGATACAAATCCATACACACTGTTAGAGCTCAGTGAAGCTGAAAGAGTCCAGTAAGAGGCCAGCGACATAAAGAACTTACCCTTGACTACCTTCTCAAGGTGGTGGAGATTCAAGAAGGGAGAGGGAACAGAGGATAAACGTCAGCTATCACTTCCTGTGGAAAGAAACCAGGAAAATAAAACCAGAAGATAATAAGGAAGAATCATCCTACCTCTAATTTGGGATCTCTTCCCTTTTAGGACTCTATCCTAAACCAACTCTAACAGCCCACACTGGGCCCATCATGGCACCCGGAGAAAGTCTGAATCTCAGGTGCCAAGGGCCAATCTGTGGAATGAACTTTGTTTTAATAAGATTTGAAGACATGGAGAAGTCCCTTTACCTCAAGAGGCCAATAAAAAATGAAGCATATTTCTTCTTCTGGGCTTTGAAAATCCACGAAGCTGGACATTACCTCTATTTTTACTATGATGGGTCATACAGGGCTTCACTGAAAATCTGGGTAACTGGTAAGAGGGGTATGCCATGGGGTGTGTATTGAGGAATAAGGATATACAACTCACTCTGGGTGCCCTGGAAAATCAAATATTGCAAATAGGGAAGGGAACAGAATTTGTACAGCTGAGTTTAAGATGGGGTTTCCCAAGTGTAGCCTGGAAGAAAAGGAGGAACGAACTCTAAGGAGTGGGAGAGAAAAGCCAGACTACTAGCTCTTTATATTTTGGGTCTTGTCCTAGACATTTTCCAGGAGACCTGGCTACTTGCTCAGCCCAGTCCTGTGGTCCAAATGGGTCAGAACATGAGCCTGTGGCGCAGAGGGCCAGTGGATGAGGTGGGACCTTCACTCTGTGAAAAAGGAGAAGATATCGATGATAAGCAGCCATTCTTCCTCAGCAATGTGACCTACAGGGATGCTGGCATCTGTAGTTGCTGCTGTCTCCTTTCCTGGAAGACCTCCATCAGGATGACATCACACAGGACTGTGGATCTTGTGGTTTTAGGCAAGTGCTAACAACTATAGTTGTCTGTTTTTATTATTGAAGTGTTCTAAGAAGAAGCTAGTGGTCCTGTTCCCTCTTGAAGTAATGAGTCAAGGAAAGTCCATGCTAGGCGGACAGTGGAGAATTTTCTAGAAAAACACTAGGTACCTTCTCTCCCAGGATTATTACTAAAGCTCTGCTGTTCAGCATGGCTCAGACCTATTGTGACTTCTGAAAATTTATTCCTTGAGGTCAAGGAAAACTTAGAGGTAAGAGGTCTTCCAGATTGAAGGACTCTAGGGCACCAGAGAGTGTGGCAAGAGGTTCTGATACAGTCAATTCTGAAGCCACTGATATAATGAACTGGAAATGGGAAAGAAGCTCAAATTGGGAGCTGAGAAACATTGGTTGGGGGAGTAGGTACTCAGTTCGATGTCACTTCTAACTGTGCTCTCTGCATCAGTTGTAGATAAGCCGCCCAAGCCCTCTCTAGGCACCTGGACTGGAACCATGTTCAAGCGAGGAAAGGCCATCATGCTTCAGTGCCAAGCGCCTCATCCAGTACTTGAATTTCCTCTGCAATGGGAAAAAAGAGCAACATTCCAGAAGTTCTCAGTGAAAGGAGACTTCATCTTCAGTAATGTTAAAGGGAAAATCACAGGGACCTACAGCTGCAGCTGTCGCGAGCAGTCACACCGTGACATCTGGTCGCATCACTGTGAGCCTCTGAAACTGATGCGACCAGCAGGTGAGAGAAAACTCTTCTTATGGACACCCCTGCATGGCTTTAGCTTCGACATCACTGGGATTTCTAAGCAGTGGCCAGAGAGCTATGGAATGGGGAGGCAGGGTTTGAAAGCCAGGCCCCTCAGGCTTGGGCTCCCTTCCAGTAGAGGTGCCTCACTCACTCCAAGGCAGTGAGCAGGATACTTCCAAGGCCCTCATTCCTTGTGAAAAAGGCCACTTCTGCCTCATTTTCCTCCATTCTCGGTAACCAGCTCCCCTCTGCACCCCAACCTCCACGATTGTATTCCACTGCCCCTGTGCCCATCAAGGACCGTGCTTCTGGTCTTCCAGGTGCCTTCACCTGGAATTACATTCTGAATGAAGCCATCAGGCTGTCCTTGCTCATGCAGCTTGTGGCCTTGCTCTTGGTAGTGCTGTGGATAAGGTGGAAGTGTCGGAGACTCAGAATCAGGTAACTGTCCCATTCCTCAGTCTAGCTGCATTGGGGCTCTCCAGAGACTTAGGAATGGGTAACATTCCATTTGAGACAAGCCACAGGACACACCCTTTCCATCCCCCATCTGGGCTTAGCAGTTAAGACTTCCCATCCTGTCATTTCTTTTCACTTCACGGAGGGGTCAGCACCAAAGCCAGAGAAACACAATTCTCTGAGGCTAAACAAATAATCAGAACTCCATTCACTGATTACCCTCAGGAAGGTGACTAAATCTCCCCACAAATCAACCTGCCCCTCAGAGATAATTGGTATTGCCTAAATTAACTTGGTCTGGATTTTTCCTCTTGTACAAAGACATGCTATCCTGTCTTCCAGGTTATTATCCAACTACCACCCCAGTTTTTTATCCTGTTCCCCAGCTCTCAGAGGCTAGGGAGCCTGGTGGTCTACCCTAATTGTCATAAAACCAGTTTCGCTGCCACTTTGGCCTCCAAGCACCTATGCAGAGCAGTCTGAGGATATAATCTTGTCCTGGATGAGCATAAAATGAAGCCACAGATGGGACCGGGGGAAAAGGCTGCTTCTTCTGGCTCACAAAAAGCAGTGGCAAACCCAACAGGCCCTCCCACCATTTCCTTTGATCATTTGGTATTCACTGACCTGTTTTTTCCCTTTGCCTCCATGGCCCATGCTCAGTTGACCCTATTTGAAAATGAGAAAGAAAATGGCAGCTTCTACTCTGGTGGGGGCCTCAGGTTCTGAATGCCTCATTTGCTTCTCCTGCCCTCTGCTCCTGGCTATACCCACCCCCACCATAATCATAGTCCTTCGTGTGTCTGGGCATATTCATGGAAGAGGAGTTGACTAAGAGAGAGAGAGAGAGAGAGAGAGAGAGTGCTTTGCAGTGGGATCTGAGGGACAGAGTGCTTGGCTAACAGAAAGGAGGTACCTAAGCCTTCTGCAAAACCACCACCCTTTGCATTTTCAAAAATTTGCCACAGGAGTCAAATTCCAATTGTCTGCAGAATCTATTCCTGAGTCCCACCACATGGGGGTTATCTCCAAGCCAGAAATTAGGGGAGAAATATAGCTTCAAGTGGCCCACCCTAGCCCAGGAACACGGCATTAGAGAATGAGTGTAGGAACCAGATTTCAGATTTCAGAGAACGCAGCTTGAAAAGCATGTTTTCTGGAACAGGAAGTAGGGTCAGTGGACATGGAGTTTGGCTTAATGTCCTCTAATCCTACAGAATACAAAAACCAAAGTTACCACACGTTTCTAGTAATAATCTAGGTAACAGTAGGGAGATCCACTCTCTGACAAGTGCAGCTCAGCACTGACTACCCTCTGGCAATTCACCTCTGCTACCAAGGCAACCCTTCCCTAACAAAGGCAGGTGAGGCAGTAGGTCTGAGGACCAATGCTGCCATAATAAAAACTGCTTCCAAACTTCAACTTGATGACAGAGAAACAGTCAAGAATTCTCCCTCCACCCCCACGCCCACCACCCAGAGCTGCTGCTCACACTGAACTCCAGGAGTTCTGTGAGCTGGAGATACAAAGGCATTTTTGGATCTGACGTCTCAGTTCCAGCAACAGCCTAATCAGGGGCCATGAGGAGCTGACATATGATATAGACTGGGGAGGGGGAGGGGAGAGGCGGGGCACATAGGTCATGAAAGAGCAAGAGATTTGTAGGTGGTGAGGCCCTCAAAATAAAAAGTCATCGATGTCAGAAAAGATTATATCCCATTATCCTGGCCATATCCAATCCCTATTGGGTGGTGAGTAAGCCAATGACATAAATTGCCGCCCCCTTCTCTCCGCCCTCCCCCTAATCCCAGCAACTCCTCTCATCTCTTTTCTGGTCTCGCTAGAGAAGCCTGGTTGCTGGGAACAGCTCAAGGGGTCACCATGCTCTTCATAGTCACAGCCCTGCTTTGCTGTGGTGAGTACAAGGAGGTGGGGAAGGGGCCTGGGCAGAAACCGGGGAGGGGAGGCACAGCCCTGGCGGCAATTTCTTTTGCAGGACTGTGCAGTGGGGTATTGACAGAAGAGACTGGTGAGTTTTTCCTGCTCCCGACTGGGACATTCCTCCCTGGAGATCCGAAATAACTGCAGAGTGTCAGTGTCAGTGGCCAGGGAGGGACTGGTGGGGAGGGAAGGACAGCCAGAAAGGGGCACTTGCTAAAACTGCTAGCAAAAGTCAGCCTCCAACTCTGCTTTTCTGGCTATAAAATCCACCCCCTTCCCAGCCTTTGCACTTTTCTGAAGCTTAGCTGAGCGGCCCGATTCCACTTTCCCTAGCACCTGCGGAAGAAAAGAAAGAGTTTGGATTTGGGTTAAAAGGGGAGGTGGGCTGTGTGCTCTGGCTCGGGGGCTCAAGGACAAGGGAAAGGGGAGGGGGCAGGAGGAGGAAGGAAGGTTTCATTTACTCTGCTGTTTCTAGAAATAATCATGCCAACCCCTAAGCCTGAGCTGTGGGCAGAGACCGACTTCCCTCTGGCCCCGTGGAAGAACTTAACCCTCTGGTGCAGAAGCCCTTCTGGCTCAACTAAGGAGTTTGTGTTGCTGAAGGACGGGACGGGGTGGATCGCCACTCGCCCGGCCTCAGAGCAGGTTCGGGCTGCATTCCCGCTGGGCGCCCTGACCCAGAGCCACACCGGGAGTTACCACTGCCACTCGTGGGAGGAGATGGCTGTGTCCGAGCCCAGTGAGGCACTTGAACTGGTGGGGACAGGTAAGAAAAGGGAGAGGACCCTCCCGGAGTGATCTCCAGTGTGCCCTGGGACTCCACCACCACTGTGCCTCTGGTTGGGGTCGTGAACGCACGGAGACCTGGAGACCAGGGGTTCCTGCTGCCTCTGGGAGAGGAGGGGAGTGGGGGAGGGGGGAGAGTGAGTGGACACTGACTGGAAAGCCAAGACCAGTCCAGAATGGATTTTTTTTTCTGACAGAGCTATGGCAAGTGGCCCACCTGCGCACCTCCAAACTTCACACTCCTTTTCCACCCTATTTTGTTTTCCAGACATCCTCCCCAAACCTGTCATTTCTGCTGCGCCCCCAATTCGGGGTCAGGAGCTGCAAATCCGGTGCAAAGGATGGCTGGCAGGCATGGGGTTTGCTCTGTATAAGGAGGGGGTGCAGGAACCTGTCCAACAACTTGGTGCTGTCGGGAGAGAAGCCTTCTTTACAATCCAAAGAATGGAGGATAAAGACGAAGGCAATTACAGCTGCCGCACTCACACTCAAGCGCGCCCCTTCCAGTGGTCGGCGCCCAGCGAGCCCCTGCAGCTGGTCATAAAAGGTAGAGCTAAAAGCTTGTGAGAGGGAGGCCAGGCAGGCAGAACTCTGGGCTAGACACTCCTCTCGCCTCAGCAAACTTTGCTGCTGATCTTGGGAGCTTGTGTCCAATCTTAGAGCCAGGCAGGCGTGGCGCTGGGAGTGCCAGGCCTCTGGCTGCATGATATTAATAGCCATAATCGTTATTAATAGCTGGGCTTTGTGGAGGGTGATTTAATTTTTCTAATTATTTTCATATCAATTAGCTCATTTAGCTATAGAACAAATACTCCAGGGAGGCGGTGCACGTGCCTTCCCCTCTTCTTGTCAAATGGGCAAAGCATCAAGGCCCAAGACAGCCTCTTTAGCCAGCCGGGACATCTTGAGGGTTCCCTGGAGGAGATGAAGGGTGGAGGTGGGGGTCCCTGCGTGAAAAGTTCATCTGCAAAGTGGATCTGCCTTCATTTTTCAAATTCATCTACTTCTGAATGAAATACAGAAAGCAAAGTAGCTCCTAGAAACAATTCGCTCTCTGGTATTTTTTTTCTCTTATTTTGGATTTGTGTTGTTTTCTTTTGCCTCTTAGAAATGTACCCCAAGCCCTTCTTCAAGACATGGGCCAGGCCTGTGGTCACTCCTGGTGCTCGAGTGACTTTTAATTGCTCCACTCCCCACCAGCACATGAGCTTTATTCTTTACAAAGATGGAAGTGAAGTAGCGTCCAGCGACAGGTCCTGGGCAAGCCCAGGCCCCAGCGCAGCTCATTTTCTGATAATTTCGGTTGGCATCGGAGATGGAGGGAATTACAGCTGTCGCTACTATGACTTTGCCATCTGGTCTGAGCCCAGCGACCCTGTGGAGCTCGTGGTCACAGGTCAGCAGGGGGAGAACGCAGGTAGAGAGGTTCCTGACCCTGGAACAGAGGGTGGAGACACAGTCAGCCGGAGGGAAGAGTGTTCCTTTCTAAGGACAAGAGGGGAATGTGCTGTGGACAGTGCCCGCACGTCTGTCAGCAGCCCCTGGAGGCAGCTGCTGATATTATCATTATTACATCAAGCAGAGACAAAGGGGAGGGTACAGGAAGGGAATTCACTTCTGGGAAGATACATGAAGGAGATGTGGTGGGCCCCATACCCACAGCCACACTCACGTCGCCTATTTGTAAAATCCTTTTGTGGTTGGCCTTGAGTTTTAGGTTCAATGTCCACTTTTTCTTTAGCTCAGCTGTCAGAGATTGGTGGGTTGGATGGCACTCAGAGAAAAGGAGAAGACCTGGAAATGTCAGCTGTATATTATGTAGCCATTACAAATGATAGTTTTCAAAGGCTGCTTAACATCACAGCAAAATATCTACAAATAAAATTAAGTGAAAAATATCAAAGCACACGCTTTTGTGCGCATGGCAAGATCCCAATTATGTCATTAGCTATAATGTCATGGGTATATATACAAATAATAAATGAGAAAGAGATATAAAAACATGATTGTTTTTAGTGGGAAAATGGTCATATCTTCATTTGGTTTATTCTGCATTTGAAAATTTTCAGCATAAATGTCTGTTTCTTCCAAGAACATTAAAGAGAGCACAGTACAGAGTGTGGGGGCAGTCTTCTCTCATGTTGTGCTCTCTTCAATTCCAGAATTCTACCCCAAACCCACTCTCCTGGCACAGCCCGGTCCTGTAGTGCTTCCTGGGAAGAACGTGACCCTGCGCTGTCAAGGACCTTTCCAGGGCATGAGGTTCGCCCTCTTGCAGGAGGGAATCAAGGCTCCCTTACAGTTCCAGAGTGCCCAGGGAAGCTCAGCTGACTTCCTCCTGCATGCTGTAGGAGCAGAGAATTCTGGAAACTACAGCTGTGTCTACTATGAGACAACCATGTCAAATCGGGGATCACATCTGAGCACGCCCATTATGATCTGGGTGACAGGTGAGGACAGACAAGACAGAAGACTAGGATAGACAATCATGGAGTGGGAGTTTGGGAGGGGAGTCCCTCTTGGAACTTTTGCACACAGAAGAAGAAAGAAACAGGGTTCATACAGTGAGTAATGTCTTCATATTTAACACTGTGCACCTTTGGTCTCTTCCTAGATACATTCCCCAAGCCATGGCTGTTTGCTGAGCCCAGTTCTGTGGTCCCAATGGGGCAGAATGTTACACTCTGGTGCCAAGGACCAGTCCACGGAGTAGGGTACATTCTGCACAAGGAAAAAGAAGCCACATCACTGCAGCTCTGGGGGTCTACTAGTAATGACGGTTCCTTCTCCATCACAAATATATCTGGTGCTAGCATCGGGCGTTACAGCTGTTGCTACCACCCTGACTGGACCAGCCCCATCAAGATACAGCAGAGCAACATCGTGGAACTCATAGTCACAGGTGAGGGGAAGGTGCTCTGTTGGGCATGGAAGTGCAGGAAGCAGGGTTGTAGCTAGACTGGTGCATGGAATTCGGTTTCTGAAGAGCTCAAGGAAAGGCAAGTCTTTCTCCTTGGTTGAACAGAGACTCAAGGTAATACACTGGAAAGCGGTCCCCTCTCTCTGACAGAGTTAATTTCTTTCAGGTTTGCTCCCCAAACCCAGCTTATTAGCACAGCCTGGTCCCATGGTGGCCCCCGGAGAAAACATGACTCTTCAGTGTCAAGGGGAACTGCCAGACTCAACATTTGTCCTGTTGAAGGAGGGTACTCAGGAACCCTTAGAACAACAGAGGCCAGGTGGTTACAGGGCTGATTTCTGGATGCCTGCACTGAGAGGAGAAGACTCTGGGACCTACAGCTGTGTTTACTACTTGGATTCTGCTCCTTTTGCAGCCTCCAATCACAGTGACTCCCTGGAAATCTGGGTGACTGGTAAGGGCTTGGAGGACTCAGTGAGAGTCTATATTTCATACTTTTTTAGTCATTAGTTTTTGTGAGAGAAAAGTTTGTACTCAGGGTTACTTCTAACTCTGCCTCCTGGTTGGTTACAGATAAGCCCCCTAAACCCTCCCTGTCAGCCTGGCCCAACTCCATTTTCAAGCTGGGGAAGGACATCACCCTTCAGTGCCGAGGCCCCCTGCCCGGAGTTGAGTTTGTCCTGGAGCATGAAGGAGAAGCAGCACCCCAGCAGTTCTCAGAGGATGGAGACTTTGTCATCAACAATGTAGAGGGAAAGGGCATTGGAAACTACAGCTGCAGCTATCGCCTGCAGGCCTACCCTGACATCTGGTCAGAGCCCAGTGACCCCCTGGAGTTGGTGGGGGCAGCAGGTGAGAGGACAATCCCTTCATGGTCCTGGAATGACTTGCTTGGCATCTCAGGGACAGTCCTCGTGGGAGCAGCCCAGATAGGGAACCCATGGGAGAGAGACCTCAAGTTTGCTCATCTTTCATCTAAGTTTGAGGATCAGGTGGGGCCTCAAACTCACACAGAGATAGTAAATGGGATATGTCAAAGTCTCCCTCTCCTATCTCAAAAAGAGAAGGCTGCCTCTACCTCAGCCTAAGCGCTGCCATGGAGCACCCTCTCATCCCCAAGTGAACCATGGAAGAAGCCAGATGACAGAGAAACAAGAGGCTGAGAGGAATGTCTCTGTGTCTACCTCAACGGTACTGGTATTGGCTCTCTTTTTACCACAGGACCTGTTGCTCAGGAGTGCACTGTGGGTAACATTGTCCGAAGTAGCCTGATTGTGGTGGTTGTCGTGGCCTTGGGTGTGGTGCTGGCCATAGAGTGGAAGAAGTGGCCCCGCCTGCGAACCAGGTAAAGTGCCTCACATCAACCTCTCTCTGTGAACCCAGGGGTGATGGAAAAGCCTCATCTGAATGTTCCTCTACCATCTGGAATGTACAATGCAACTTGTTTGCAGGTTGATGGTTCTGCATCTGCCCTTAGCTATGTTTTTTTCTTTATACAGGGGCTCAGAGACAGATGGAAGAGACCAGACCATAGCCCTTGAAGATTGCAACCAAGAAGGAGAACCAAGTACTAACACCAACTCTCCCTCATCAATCTCTCAGGGTACCTCAGTGGAACTACCAGTCCCAATATAATAATCTCCTCCTGGACAAGAGCTTTCCTCTCTCTTTTACCCTCAGAAACCTGCAAACCCGATTGATTACCCTGGGAGTTAGCCCCATCTACTCTTCCTTGGCCGCTAATCACTTGAGCTGGGTCAAGGGGATTCTGAGAGTTGAAAGCTCTACCAGGGTGAGATGTTTCCTGAAGCAAGATTCCCTGCCCCTGTAACTCCTCACTGTACTGATTTACTGGTGCATGAAATTCTATTAAAAATGTATTCTTCTGAATAAAGAGAGTATTCGCTATTAAACTGTACAAACATAGCAATGGCTTTCCATTGGTCTCATCCACTTTGAACTTAACAAAAAAAGTGTATTGGAGCTGACCTCCATTGCCGAGTCAGAGAACAGAGTGCTGTCTGTGCCATTGTACAGAGAACAGTGGGGTGGGCCACAAGGGAAAACTCCAGAACAACACTTTCGAATTTGCTTTGAGATATGGTCACCTAACTGAATGTCCTATGGTACTTCGATCCCATTATTGAAAGAGTGGATGAATGACTCAATAAATGAATGAATGGCAATGTCCTTCCCAAGCTGATCCCAATGAGGGCAAACACCAAGGTTACATCCTCTTCACCAAGTCACTTCTAGGTCTGCACTGTGTCTGCTTTACACATTGGGATCTGTTCTCTGCTGACTTTGCAGTTGCCACAGCGTGCATTGTGGCTTTCACCTAACAATCACAGGGCATATATTAATTCACCCTTAAAAATAAGTGATTGATGAAAAGCAAGGTATTTGACCCCTCTCACAAGATGGTTCTGTTTTCCCAAAAGAATGGGCCTCTGGTGAGTGAGTGAATAAGTCAAGAAGTTAGATTAGAGTAGGGGATCTCCCTGCATCCTCTCCCCAAATGCAGGCTGGCTTGCATTCCCAGCTCCTGACCTCTGTACCTGCATCAGCACACTACTTGTCCTTCTGGTGGGAATTTAGTACATTTTACAGGGTGTCTTGGGGGTGGGAGGGTTGCTTAGTTCCTTAAACCCGATCAAGATCTCAGGAGTAGTCACCTGCATGTACTAGAGGAGGTTAGGGCTGACCCTGAAGTTCTTTACCTTCCAGTACTGTTCCATCTAAGCTGAAGTATTCCAAAGAGCAATGTATAAGGGCACCAACATAGTGAGTTACTTATCCCTGGTTACAAAAAAAGTTCTAAAAAGCAGCTTTTATATTCTTACATTACGAAGCTTATTTACCAATATCTTAATGAAGAAAAAAAAAAGGTGCATCCCATTTCCCTTAATCCCTACAGAATGAAACACTCTGAGTGCTATAGGCTAATTTGTATTAAGCCCTTTGGAATGTAGAAGTACAAAGTCTCACTCTGACTTCTATTTGATGAGATTTTATTAGCTGCTTACTCTAATTTCTTACAGTGTTTCTAAAAATTGCATTTCAAAGTACTTTTACATTTGAATTCAGCAAAGCCTAATTGTTGCTTTCTGCTGAAAACCACTCACTGCCTTCAAACTCTCCATCTCTAACCCTCAATCAAGTTGAGCACTGGAGGGAGGCCTGTCCTTGGTGCTTTGTTTTAAGGTAAAAGTCCTTTCTTTGATGAGGTCTGATTTTGTTTTCCAATCACTGGCTGTTCCAGAGTAGATTGTCAAGGCTAGTGTTAGTTAGCAAGTTATGCAAGTTAGCAAAGGTAAGTGGATTGTTTTAGCTGTTCACCAAGGGAAAGAGAAATGGTAAGAAAATAACAGAGAGCAAGGACTGAAATTTAGAGAAACCTCTGAGCTAGAAAATAAGGAAGCAAATGAGTAAACATGACAGGAACAGAATCTTGTGAAGAGGAGACATTGAACCTGAGGTCTCCAGTGCCAAACAGATTCAGCCAGGGTTATTCATACAATCAGAGAAAAATTTGATAAACCTTTCAAAGAGAAACAAATAGTGAAAAATATTGTGACACTGGACTGCTAGTTGGTTTTCTAAAAACACTCACATATTCTTTTACTTAGAAAACCAAGTTCTGCATGTTTTAGAAGGGGAAAAAATAGTTGTCAATTAACTGTGAAATACTTAAAGACAAAGAGTGGCTTTGGGATTTAACTTTCCTCCTCACTGTCAGAGCTATCTCAATGAATTAAATGTCTATTTATAATGCAGAAGTCGTCACAAACTATCTCAATGAATTAAATATCTATTTATAATGCAAACGTAGCTGGTTGCCGACAGTGTTCCACACGGTATGTTTTTTCAACCTGGTTGCCATGGGAATCAGTCCCTTTACCCCTGGCTGGCCTCTAATCATCAGCCCAGCATCAGGTAATTTCTGGGAAATGGAATCTCAATTAGGGTGGAATGGAACTTTGAGAGGAGCATTTGTCTCTGGGACTCCAGTAAGAGAGGCCAAGGTCTTCTCCCAGTTCTGAAAAACAAATGTAAATGACTGCTGATTCTTGGACTCGCTCACACCTTTGGTTCCAGCATCTCAGAGCTACACAGATTGTCAAAATTGTGTGGTCTAACTTCCCAACCAGTGCAGAATCTCCTTTAGAGCAAGGCCGAAAGGTAGACCCACAGCTTTTTCTGTCCAATTCCAGGAATGGGGAACTCACCCCTTCATGAGACAGCCTGAGAATTTCAAGTTGTTTCATCTATCCCATTAGTGTCTATGTGTATTCTCTTCATAATCACCTGTTCTAGTTCTGACTCAAGTTGCAACCCAGATGAAATCTCTTCCACATAATAGTTCCAAAACTTGTACAAATTGTGAGTTATCCTTCCTTTGTCTCCAAGATCATGCTGAGTGGAATTGCCTTTGCAAATACATCTATGTGTAGTTAATTTTCTATTATGTAGGCTTTGGAGAAGGCAGTGTTCATGCCTACCCAATTCTTGTATATTCCACCAAAGAAGTTCTTTTATATATTTCATATACCTGAAATTATATAGAACAATTATATAGAATAGTAGACAATGATAAATGATGTGGTGAAAATAAAGCACAGAAAGGAGATGGAGAGAATTGTGTTTTGTGGGGAGTTGTTGCAATTTTAAAGAGGTGACTGAGAAGACCTCGCCAAGAAGGTAATACTCAACTTATGATTTGAAGGATGTGAAGTAATAAATCATGCAGATGTATAGTCAAAGATACTTCTGGTGGTGCAGTGGGTTAAAGCACAATACTAAGAAGTTAAAGCCACTTCAGCATGAGTTCGAACCCGCCTGCCCCGGAGGTGATCCATACGTCAGCAAACCTTTCCTGACTCGCCCACTCACTGCTCCCCTCAGCAGTGTACTCGATGATCTGTGTGTTCTGCTCCCCACTCTGTCTCTGGTGAATCCTCTCACCACCGCCCCTGCACCCCCGGCCTGTATCCCAGTTCTGTATGCACAAATAAATAAATCTTTAAAAAAGGGGGGGCCCCTCTGATGGCATAGTGGGTTAAGTCACAGCACTAAGAAGGTAAAGCCACTTCAGCATGAGTTTGATCTCCGCCTACCCTGGAGGTGATCCAAGTGGCATGGCAGAACTCTCCTGGCCCTCCCACTTCTCCCCTTAACAGTGTACTTCTTTAGTCAGCCTGTTCTGCTCCCCACTCTGTCTCTGGTGAATCCTCTCACCACCCCTGCACTTCTGGCCTGTACCCCAGTTCTGTGTGCATAAATAAATAATTTTTTAATTAAAAAAAAAGATGCTTCTGGTGAGAGAGAACAGCGTACACAATAGACCTGAGACAGGAGAATGCCTCCTAGTTTGGGGCAATGTCATTAGACTGCAGTGACTGGAACAGCATAAGCCCGGGGGACAGCAGAAGGAGGTGAGGTTAAAGATGTCATAATAGGAGCCCTGTTGACCAAGACATTATAGGTATTTGTGGGACCCTTGGGTTACACCATGAATGAATGGAAATCCACTGAAGTGTCTTGACTAGTCTCACATTTAAATAAGACCACCCAGTCTTCTGTGTGGAGAGTAAACTGAGGACAGCCTAGAAGCCAAGAAATCTGCCAAGAGGCTATGACAATTATCCAGGGAAGGGAGGGTGGGTTTGGTCTGCACGGTAGCAGAGGTGGTGATGAGAAAAGTTTGGATTAGTGATATGAGAAAAGAACCAACAGGATTTGTTGACAGATTGGGTGTGGGGTATGATCTATAAACATTTCGTTAGAAGAAAGAACTGCTTCAAATATTGCCTTAGTGTTTCCTTCCTGTGTTATTTTAATCTCATTCTCAAGAGTTTTCCAGTGACTCCCTACCCAGTCACCACTTCCGGACAGTTCATCAATGTGTTTGTCATTGTCTATCCAGAAACACTGCAAGCAAAATGCACTCTGCATACCTGAAGTGATCTTACCAGCATAGCACACACAGGACAACAAAATGGTCACTTTCTGGGATCTCAACTTGCCATCTTTGTTAATGCCATCTAAAATTACACTAGTCCTCGGGCAACCAGTGCACACTGCTGGCACATAGGAAACATGTGGTCAACAAAAACCCACAGCTCTTTCCCACACAAGCTCTTGCCAAACCAACCCTTTCTTGTTCTTCACTTGGATAAGGGATGTGGTATTTCGCTATTGAATTTTTAATTCAAATGTGACACTTGACATTTATTCCTGTTAGGTGCATTAGGTAGGTTCCAGCTGATAAGAAATCATATGTTATCACTGTGAGGCCCCTTTACCTGCTGCACTCGCTCATTTACTGCTAACAACTCTGTGAGGTTCCATTTGATTATTCTCCCCGTTTTCCACATGAGGACATAGTCTGAAAGGTTAGGTAACAAGACCAAGGCCACCCAGATCATAGGCAAGGAATAGCTGACATTAGAATTGAATTTTGCATGATTCTAATGCCGCACTCTCCCACAGGAAGAAACCTTAGAAAGTATGATATCTTAAATATAGTAGGTATACAACAAATAGTTACTAAATTGACAACGTCCACACCTTACTTTTAAATTTATTTTAATGAGCTAACCCTCATATTCACTTACTAATTTTTAGGCTCTGTC